AATAGGGTCGAAACGTTGTGTAATAAACTAATTAAATAACCAGCCATTTGGGTTGTCTATAAGTTTGCCATCTCAATTTTTAATCATTACTGGTGACAATAAGTAAACTCTCCTTTCGTCAATTAAAAATATTGCAAATAAAATGTACTAATTTATATATGTTGAAAAATACGTAATTACTTCTCAATTATAATTTTGAAGTACAAAATCATTTAATAATTTAAATTTAGTAAAAAATTTTTATGCATGTTAAAGTTTTCTTTTTTAATTAATGTTACAATTATATTGTTTTTAATCTTAGACACATTTGATTGCTATCTGACTTTGTTATGTAAGCTGACGATCGTAACGAAACTGTCCTCCTTATGTACATATTATGAGCATAATATATTCTCGCCATGAAACGAGAAATAAGTTTTACATTCGTTTTAACAATTGACTAATTACTCTCGTCAATGTCATATCCATCTACTGATTTTGTCACTTTTGCCTCAGCCTTGACAGATCTTACTCATTTTTTCAATATTTATTAAATTGTGTAGTCGATAAAAAATTCTATAGACACATAATTCAATAAGAGAGAACTGCTTCACTATTTATTTAAAATGTTTCTATATTAAATATTGTTCAAGTGTATGTACGTGAGAGACACGCGACGTGGATAAGAATTGAGAATGCACACACGGACAATAACCCAATAATTTAGAAACCCAAGTAATATGTAGATAAATTTTAAATAAATTTAATTATTATTAATTAGCGATATAATTTGCAATAAATGTGTACGAATTTTTCAAGTGTTGATACGATATTTAATTGATTTACTTGACCATTTTTGAAGATTTAATTACGCGATTTTAAACAAATATGTAATATACATGTTATAGTACTTCAAAATTATAATTTAGAGGTAATTACCTACTTTTTAACATGTATAAATAAGTACTTTTTAACATGTATAAATATGTACTTTTTATTTACAGTATTTTTAGTGTTCTTCAAATAAATTCGTCACTCGTACAAGTAAATTTTTCGAAGCTTCTAATTCTTTCGAAGCTTTGAAGTTATCATAAGTAACAGCCTTAGTTTATATCCTCATAAAACAGATCAGGGCACTCAGGTAGTTTCGTTTCATTGAGAACTGATGGTAAAGAAAATTAGTAATAGCAGTAGTAGTAATGTTGACGATGACAGTAGTGGTGTCAATGATGATGGTGAGAGTAAGCTGGTAGTGATGGTAATAGTAGTAACAGTAGTGGTAATTGTGATTGTGATGGCAACAGTGGTGATATTTAGTGGTAGTAGTAGCAGCAGTGCAAGCTAGTAGTGATGGCGTCTGTATCGCCTGTGCAGGATCGATATGATGCCCCAGTTACCAGGAGAGGGTCAGACGAGAGAAAAAGACGGATAGATGTGTAGAATGTATAAATGTATAAGATGTCCCAGAAATGTATGTGTGTGTGCGTGTACGCGCGCACACCCGCACACACGCACGCACACGCAACGACACGCAAACGAACACGTACACAGCTTTCTTGCACGCAATCGCAGTTTTGCTCGAGGAATATATGGATAGGTCGCAGAAGTTGTACAATTTGTAGAGATGTTTATACAATTGTTTTCAGTAATGGGTTTTAATTGGACAAAAATGACACTCGGTTTGATACGATTTGATTTAGCTTGGCGCTTATTTGGAAACTTGGTCACGACGAATCAAAGGGATGGATTTTTACAGCAACGTAACAGACTTGCACATTCTATAATATAATAGAATAAAGGCGTTGACCTAAATGTCATCGACGAACATTTTAACTTGATTTCAATAATACAAGGTCTAGTTTTTCAACTGAATAGTTATATGAAAATTAGGTAAATATACATCACTATGACCACTTTTAAAAAATTATAAAATTGATCACTTTTGTCTTATAAAGATTTTAGATTCCAAGAGTTTTAATAAGTTTTTAATTATTGTATATTTTTAATGCGAAAAGTGAATGTTGTTTGTATTATATTTATGTATAAATCTTTTTTAAATAATAAATTAGTATGGCTCATATGTGTTAAACACACAAATTTCAAGAAATAAAGGACTCAGAGCCGTGACAGGGTGACAGTATCTAAATATTTTATTCAAAGTTTATTGCAGTGCTCGGAATTATTTGCACTTCTGGCCGATTTTTTTAGACAAACGCCTACTTTTGTCCCCTTGCCGCGCGCACTCTAGCGACGGTCAGTTTACTTCTCGATAGTGAAGCGTGTCTCAGGAGTGGTCCTGTTTCAAAAGCAACCAAAAAGAAACCTTAGAGCGGCCACGCCGGCGCGGCGGTTAATTTGTTACTGTTTCGCTAGGATATCTGAAATTTCAAGGATTGGATTTCCGAGAATTTCAAATCGCGAAAATCGCAAATCTCGAAAACTGACAAAGTATCAGGAGAACATGACCAGCAAAGAGGTGGCACTATCTAAAATTCCAAGAATTGGATTTCCGAGAATTTTCAAATTCAAATCGCGAAAATAGAGAATCGAGAAAATGGCAAAGTATCAGGAGAACATGATCAGCAAAAAGGTGGCACTATCTAAAATTCCAAAAATTGAATTTCCAAGAATTTCCACATTCAAATCGCGAAAATCGAGAATCACGTTAAAAATATTATTACACGTAACAATATAATTCGTTGTAATATTATTACACGTGAAATATTATTTACACTTATTATGTTAAAATATTAATATTTGCGTTTTTAAACACAAATGATGGCACATTGTATTTTTTATATTTTTATATTTTTAATATTTTTTTTAAGCTTAACGGTGAGCGAGATTCGTATGAGAAACAAATATGTTATAAAGTAAAACAGAACGAATAACTGGAAAAAAAAATTAAAATTATTGACCGTTCCGTTTCAACAATATAAACAGTTAAAATTGAAAAATGATAAAATTTTGTAATAGACATGAGTGTAGTGTAAGAGATGTGGCAACAGCGCCTGAAACTAGAATCTTTCGAATCTATTTTATATTATGTATTAATCGTGAGGGTATTCTTTAGAATAATATTGCATCAAGATATATAATTGTAATAATTGAGTACTGGTTCCTGTTTGGAAGAAATTTTTGAGCATTACTGTCGAGAAACAACTACCTTAAAGAAATATTTCTCTATACCACTTCCGAAAGTTAGAATATTTCTTCAATATTACATGTCGAATGGGAACACTTAATAACTGTCTTTCCGGCATCAAATTTCTCACTGAAATATACAGGGTGCTACGCAACATATTGAACACCGGTCAAGAGAAGGTAGAGGAGACTAAGACAAACAGAAAAGTCCTGTACTATTTTCCGCTTGGACGAATAGTTATCGAGATACTGAATTTTAAAAATCGCCGTATTAGTCCAACCCACTGGCAAATGCAAGCGCGCGGTGAGTAGCGACCATCGCTGCGAACTTTGACGCAGCGCGAGGAAACGTGCGAGTGGTCGCGTAAGCGGCGGACGGGCAGCGGCGCGCCTCGCCTCCCTACTCCTCGCCACGCACCGCCATCCTACTCCTCGCTACACACCGCCTCGAGCGGGGCCGCTAAGCGGACGCATTTCACCGCGCGCTTACATTCGCTAGTAGGTTGGGCTAATACGTCGATTTTCAAAATTCAGTATCTCGATAACTATTCGTCCAAGCGCAAAATAGTACAGGACTTTTCTGTTTAGCTTAGTCCCCTCTACCTTCTCCATGACCGGTGGTCAATATGTTGCGTAGCACCCTGTATAATATCAATTTATGTATAAATACACAAATATGTAATTAGTATATAATTTATTTGTTTAATTGTGATTAAGTAGGGGGAGACTTAAAAAAGTAGAATTATTGAAAATATTTTATATGTTTAAACATAATAAAAATTATGTTTATTAAAGTCATATATTGTACATAAAAATTTTTTACAAAGGAGCATACTCAGATAGCACAGGTGATCCATATGAACTCAAAAAGAATTCACTTTTTTAAATTCTTTATGAATTACTTTAATCTATTCCAAATGAACTCAAATGTAGTTCTTTCCGGTAGTTCAAAAAGGACTCCATAGAAGTATACCTTTCGACTTCTTATAGGATCAAATTAAAGTAGTCTGAAGGAAGTCCTTTTCCTGTTCATAATGGGTTCGAAAAGAATTCCTTTTTGGTGTACTCAATACACAATTGTCTCCCTCTATCATCGCACATCTGGCGGCTGAAAATCGAAGTAAAAACATCATCTGGATATCGATCATGGAATTTTTCACGTGAAAAGTTTCATGTGAACTCAACAATTTCAACCAATGAAATCGTTGAGTTTGTGTGAAAATTTTCACTTTTCACGAGTTCACGCTAGAAGAAAAGATTTATGATCAAGCCCATGGTCGACCTACCCACACCATAGTCATTTCAAGACCTATATGGTTATATTCGGAAACATCACCCGAGTGTTCCCATGTATCATATTTTATCCTTGTTGTTCACCGAATGTTAAACAAGGATAAATGATGCATGCAGCACTCAGGTGATGTTTCTGAACGCAGCCTATGTAAGACCGTGGTTCGTTGTTTCCGAGAGCGTTATCCCTAGCCTGGACCTGGACGAAAGCAGTTTATGAATCCATTAAGACCGAAAAATGAATCCTTATAGTGCTCCATTAGAATACTATCTAAAAATTATTTGTGATTCATTGCAAATTCTTATGGAGTATAATAAGAGTCCTTTTGGTATGCGAAAAAGGGCTCCAAATTGGTGACATAAAAGTGAGTTCTTTTGGAACTCTTAAGAATACATTTAGAATAGAAATGAGACAGATAAAGAATTCATTTCATAATTTGGGAATTCAAAAAGAATTCTTTTTGGATTCTTTGTGCTATCTGGGTATTAATTTTTTTAATTTCAAAACATGATCAAAGTAATTATAGTTATTGAATATGTCATATATTGATATTATAAATTTAAGGAATTAATTTTTTGTGTTGCAGATTTTTTGAGGTAGCAGTGGACAACAATTTCAACTATGAAGCTATAACAAACATATGTGCACGTCAAGATACGTTAGGCTGTGATTTATTTTATCTGAAGCTTAACTTTAAATAATCTAAGTATTTAAAACTATCAAGTCCTTTGTTTGAAAATATTCTAATTATCGGTATATCGATAAAGCGGTGCTTTTTATTACTTATTAATTGAAAAATAAGGATTAAATATTTACAATATGATAAATTTATTGAAAGTACACTTTTGTCGTTAAAAATAACTGAAAGGATAAAACAACTGAAAAGATTTAGAATTCTCTTTTTATACATAAAATACACTCCCCCGCATGCGCGCAGCGCGCGCGTGCGTACACACACGCGCACACACGCACGCATCTATTGCAAATTAAGCTATAAGCTCCAGTAAAAACAAAAGAGAAAGGCGTTGTCTGGAAACGAAGACGACAAGAAAACATTAATATCACGGGACTGGAAGTGGAATCCGTCACGGTTGCCAATTTAATAAGTGGCAATGTAGCAGCGCGATACAATGAAGGGTCGGAGGTTGTTATTACGGGGGATGTCGTCCTGGCAGCCCCATCCAGGTTAAAAGGAGCAATTAATCCATCGACTACGACGACTACGAAGACAGAGACGACAATAACTCCCATTATGGATACCAGTGGTGATTCAAATATAGACACTACTAACGGTAGCACCGCCACTACCGGCGTTGGTGCCATATCTTCTGTCGTCGCAAATACCGCATCTTTGACATTGGTTAAGGCCGAGAGGCCGGATCATCTAGCGGGGACGTCAACGTCGCCCGCGACGGTAACCACTGTGGCAACTGGACCGATCAGCACCGGAAGTAATCTCTTTGCCGGTATCACTAACAGCAATAAGACAGCTAGGTCAGCTGGCGACGATTGGTTGGCGACGAATAGTCCGGGATCACCACAGAACTCTTTGCAAGGCCAGCACGTGGTCTACTCCGCTTCTCAGCAGCAATTGTCAGAGCAACAGTCTACTATGGCCCACTCCAGTCCACTTGCCCAACAAGTTAGCAATAATGGATACGCAAGTCCTATGAGCACCGGCAGTTACATAGATCCGTACAGCCCCAATGGTAAAATAGGTAAGTAATCATTGTTTTGACCAAATTGCGAATTATACAAATTGCTTTAAAAAAGAATACAATATGTACACCTTAATAATCTTTAGAAAACAAAAACAATTAAATTTTAACATTATTATAGAAATCATGTTTCCATAATAATTATACTAGCAAATATCTTCGGGAAAGTGGGTACTAATAATAAGACGCGCTGCATAATAACTTTTGGGCGAGAACTATACCAGGGTTCGAGCCTGGGACCTTTCGTTTGGCGAAAAGTGCAACTGTTCCCAGGGAACATTATGTCGTTTAAAGACAACTTAAAGACGTCTTGAACAGTTCTAAGTCATCTTATGAAGGACTCAGAGCCGTGACAGGGTGGCAGTGTCTAAATATTTTATTCTAAGTTTATTGCGAAAAAATATCACCTCGGCCAGGGTTTGAACCTGGACCTCCCTCTCGTTAGGGCGTCTACCAAACCATTGAGTGAGATACCACACGTTGCTCTGCAGTCGCGCTGCTGGTATATTGTTCCTCCTTTATTTTGTAAAGTACAGTAGGTAAGTGAGAAGAGTCTCGGGCCTTAATATCTCTAGAGGAAGAGTAGTCATCCGGCAAGCGGAAGGTCCCAGGTTTGAATCTTGGTCTAATCCTAGTCAGTGTTGTTAGGAGAGCCGCTTATTTCTTATTTTATCTTATCTTATTTTATCTTATCTTTATAATGCTCCAGCAAGGCCTAATGCCCAAGAAGTGCCTAGTAATGCCCAGTAATGCCCAGTAATGCCAAAATTCTGTACACCACAATGCCCTCGACGGTTTCCCCCTCGGTAAAGTCTTATGCTCGATTGTTTGGATATAACATTTTAACATAAAAAAATTAAGTATCTAGTTTGTATAAATAATTCTCATTTTAGTTGGCGTAATTTGATGATATCATTATTTTTGTAGAAACAATAAAAATGTATTTTTTTCTAGTCAAATGCACTGCGCAACAAAATTAACGCAACACAAATTTATACCAAAATTTCACTCAACTTCAAATAATCGTAACTTCGCGAAAACTTATCGCATTTTAAAAACTTTTTTTATTTTAAAGCTAGAAATTTCTACTTTCAAGAGAATTTCTCTCTCTCTCTCTCTCTCTTCTCTCTCTCTCTCTCTCTCTCTCTCTCTCTCTCTCTCTCTCTCTCTCTCTCTCTCTCTCAGATTTTGAATATCTCTGTTTCCCTTATCGTGATCTCTTTAAAAGCAATGACGTGTTTTGTCCACAAAACTTTTCATAGTTTAACGCGCTTCGCGGGGTGCGATGAGTTCATTTCGCAAATTCTATAAGAACCATTGTAAAATATGAACTTTTCCCTGCAAGTTAAAAAAATATTGACGTCTGTACGATTTTTTTGGCGGATTTATGATGTATCAAAGTTACCTATACATTTAGTCTATTTATGCTCATTAATAATGCAAATGAACCGGTCTTATGCGCACTCGGTAATTAGTAATGGTAGGATCCTCTGTTCGATCCCGGTCCTTGTCCCGCATCCTCTAAAGTCGTCTGTATTACCAACAGTCACATATATGTTTTGTGCACATAAATCTTTTTATTGGTTTTTATGCACAAATAACAGGGTGGGATGCAAACCACACAGTAAAACATTATTATACTTCACTTCAGTTACAAGATTCTATAGAATATTGTCAACGGTTAGGAATCGGTTACGAACTCGGTTAGGAATCAATGTAGAAAATTGCATGACGACTCATGGCTGATAAATTCTAATTAAAGAAATTTATTGCGAAAAATAATACCTCAGCCAGGATTTGAACTTGGACCTCCCTATACTCTAGGCGGGCGCATTATTAAACCAAATATTAATTGCGCTCTTCCTCTTTCTTTACAAAAGTGTTAAACTCTTTCTTTCTTTTGTGCATACGTGTGCGCGTACGCGCGCCCCCGCGTGTGTTATGGATTAGGGATTATAATTAATTGTAAGTTTAGATTGTATACTTCAGTGGTTTAGCAGCACCAAGTTTTTTAAATAAACAATAATGTCATGAATCAGGATCAATATGTATCTCACAATTAAATTAGAAAAGGCGATCTTTTAATAAAATATTTAGTTGTATTAAATTTGTTTGCATTATTGAATAAGTATTAAAAATTTGTCTCATTAATAGTATTATTAATATTGATATTATTTCCTTTATTTCTTCCCATAAAATTTTATGCTTGATGTTGTTTGGATATAACATTCTAATAT